ATATAAAGGGTTTGTTTTTTGAGTGTGTGGACTAAATTTGACATTAATTAAATGTTTGAAAATGATGATGTTTTATTAGGTGTATTCTTTTGAAATTCTATGAATCCTGAATTTGGTTGGTCAAAATTAGTTATTTTAATAAAGTTAATTGAGTGAATTATTTTAAGTTTGAAATTAAATAATATTTAAAATATAATAATTAAAGTTGTTGTGATGAAAAATTATAAAAGAGCATATTAGAACTGATAAGTAGTTAAATTATGTAAACGAATGAATAATCATTAAATTTGATGTGATGTGTGGAGATGATAATATTATTTAATTATTGATATTAATGAGAAGAGTTAAATTTAGTTGGATTTTGAGTTAGAAGATTAGAAACAAAATAACTCAAACGGTCAAAAACTAATTTTAATAAAGTTAGTTTTGTCTCATATCCAAACGTGTCCTTAAAGATTTATTGGGATTTTAAAATATTTAATTTAAATTTTTTACAACTTTTAAAAGTCTTATGATGTTCATTTAAGATTTTAAAAATCTTAACAAATGAGGTATTTATATTTGACACTTAGATTTACTAAGACTTTTTAAAATTTGATGAGATTTCATAAACAAAAGCATCACACGAAATCTAAGTTTAAATAGATTGATCGATAAACCGGCTCATGGTCAATCCGTCAACTGTGCGACCTAGTCAATTTTAAAAATAATGAGTGAATTATGATTAATACTATTTATTTATTTAATTTATAATAATAATAATAATAATAATAATAATAATAAATAAATAAATAAATAAATAAATAATAATAATAATAATAATAATAATAATAATAATAATAATAATAATAATGATAATATTTCCCGTGCATCGGTCGATTACGTTCTAATTTGTTATAGGCCCCGTTTGGTAAATAGCGGATTGAAGATAAATTAGCGGATTGGACTTAATTGAGAGGTTTGACCCGTCAAATCCCCTATTGAGCTTGTTTGGTACATAGCTTATTTGATGAGTTTTTTAGGCCCAAAACTCTAATTTAGAAAAAGCTCATTAGAGCAGCTTTTTGAGAATAGAGGATTCACAAAAAATTATTTACTTGAAACTTTTTAATTTGTCTTATTTATTTTACAATCTACATTGGTTTATGGTGTTAATAAATAATAATATGTCATCTATATAATTAATTTATCCAGAAAAATATAAAATTCATAACTTCTTCATCAAGTGTTAGTAAATTTTAAAAAAATATATATTTATAAATTACCAACTAAAGAATATTAAATGTTTTAATATATTATTATTAAAAGAATACACCCTAAATAATAAAATGTCCTTATTCGTCATTTTATAATGTCAAACAACTATAAGTTTTTAGCTATTTACCAAATATTTATTTAAAAATCACTAATACAATCTGTTGGTCAAATCAACTAATATAATCCGCTATTCCTTTATCTGTTGAGCGCGCCATAAGAGCCCATGCATTTCATAAAAATAAAAATCACTTGAAAGTAGTGAACTTGAATTAGGAGCGCCTGAAATAATTACTGAGCTCCAATCTCAGGGTTTAAAGGAGAAAAGAACACTGACAGCTGTTACAAGCAGCTGCCGCTTTCAGCTAATTCGCGCCGGCTCTGTGCCATACAGCACACCCATGGCGTCCAGGAACAACAAGAAGGAAATCAAGTCGAATTTGAAGCCTCAATATGACCAGGAGGGTGATAATGAGGTAAAAAATAGAAACAAAAAAAAAATATATAAATATATATTGAATTTAATGGAATATGCACTTCAATTGAGCTCTGAGCAGCAAAAAAACATCATTTGCTGTATTTATATCGAAATTTTTTCAATTTTATTGAGTTCAACTGGTTGTATTGTTGTTGTTGNAGCTCAGAGATTTTGCCACGAATCAAGTCTCAATCTTTAGATTCTTTACCATCTGGCCAGTTTCTACGAGACCTAAAAATCGATCACAATAAGGAGAATTAGGGAAATAAAAACCCACCTTTTTCACTTTCTCCTTGCGAAAAATGCTACCCTTCTCTTTCACGGCCAAATCAACATCGGGTAAGGACTAATATTGCAGCCGAAAATGGTAAAGGTGGCATTTTTATGGAGCGAAAAGTGAAGCGGTAGTTTTTGAAATTTCCCAATTAGCCATGACTACCTTCAGTAGCCTTTTGTTTGGTTCACTCTCCGTATAATTGGAGATAAAAAATGAGCGTTTAACACGGGTTTTCTGGGTTTAAAAGTATACTGAAGCTCTATCCTCCAGTCTTCTTCAGTTGAAAAGAGTGACCAAATTTCGACTGAGCAAGGAATGACCACAAGTTCTCATCATTACTTTGGGAGCACTGAGGATGGTTTCTCCATCAGGATCATTGAGGTTTTTTATCATTTAGCCCTGCCCCAGAGCTTTATTTTCTGAAGTTGATGAAAGATGGAGTATGAAAAGAAATAAAAAGAGAATGAGAAAAGCTGCATTCATCATTTTGTTGTTTTCTCATATTCTACCAGAATATGAAAGAAGAATACGGACTTTTTGTATGGCCGTCAAGTATAATTCTAGCGGAGTACGTTTGGCAGCAAAAATCACGGTTTGCTGGGGCTAATGTTGTTGAAGTAAGTTAAGAGGCCATCGTGTATTGTTATTAATTTGAATTGTTTGCTCGAGTTTTTATTTCAAAGTCAGTTTTGTTCTTTAACAGCTTGGTGCTGGAACATCATTGCCTGGATTGGTTGCTGCTAAAGTTGGTGCAAACGTGACATTGACTGATGATTCTATTAGATCAGAGGTTTGGATCTATTAGTCCATCTAGTACATAATGAAAATAACTATGAGTTTGCTTTTTTTTTTTCTTTTTTTTTTCTATTGATGATTTTTATTGATATCTGTGTAACTTGGATTGTAGAGGTAAATATGTGTGTGTTGCGTTACAATGTAGTTTGTGAAAATCCAACTTCCTTCTTCCTTTTATGTTCGACTGCTTGAGCCTAAGAATGATATATGCATTTATAATCTTGTCGACCAAAATTCACAGAATTTAGTGGCTGAGATTATTTACTGTAAATTTATTCGACTACTTCTTAATGAAAACTTTTTTTCAACTTCCAGGTGATGGATAATTTGAGAAAACTGTGCAATATAAATAACCTCAAGTGCAGGGTATTCATCCATGTCTTGTTTAACGAATATTTCCCTTTGTATGGGTTTCATCATTTCCACACTATCTTTCTTGCAATATCGAAAATATAATCAATTAGGGTATCACTTGCTGTAGGTACTGGGGCTCACGTGGGGTTTATGGGATGAACCAGTCTTCAATTTACGCCCAAATATCGTCCTTGGAGCTGATGTGCTCTACGACTCGAGTGGTGAGGCTTACATTTTATTTTATTTTATTTAATTTTTTTGGTGTTGTGCTCTTTAAATTTATTTTCTTCTTTCCCATATCTGTACTGTTCATCTGACCTATTAATTAGTTTGTATTGAATTCTGGTGCTAAGCCTTTGATGATCTTTTCGCAACCGTGACATTTCTACTCCAGAGATGCCCAGATTCCGTTTTCATCACCACATATGACAACAGAAGGTAATTGAATCTTGCACTTTCTTGACCAAGTCAAAATGTTTTTTTCTCTGACAGTCGATCACACAAGGCATACAAATACTATTAGTAAATTTCTAAAGACCGTGACATTGAAATACTATTAGTCTTTTAAAATTGCAAAATGCCCCCATGAGGTGTTAGCTTATGGACACATATTTGAGGTTTGTACGCATTTTACCATTATACTTCAATATGTCAATCAGTAATTGTGACAGTTAATAAATGATTTTTCTTTTAAGTAAGATTATAAACCAAATGAGACTTACGTTTGTGATCATCATCTGCAGTGGACATCACCTCATCGAGTTTTTAATGGAGAAATGGTGTTTGAAGTGCACGAAACTTGTTGACGGGTATCCTTTGATGCCCTCTCACAAGGCATCAATGTTGAGTGGCAACATTCAATTAGCTGAGATTGTTTTGGATACTTATGGATCTTAACGAGCTAAATGAAAATCAACAGTTATGGAAAATGATCGACATAGCCAACATTATGACATGCCTTAAACATAGTGTTCATCTATCTTCTGATTCAGGTTGTAAGGATAGCAGTTAGCTTCGGGAGAAGTTAAGAAATGTATCGGGTGATGGATTGTCAGCGAATTTTGTAGAATTTTCATGATAAAGATTGTTTTTGTAATCATGCGATTTTTTCTCTTGAGAAAAATACCTTCGTTCTTCAATTTTATGTTGTTACCATGTCCGCAATTATATGTTCACTAAAATAATTCCACAGAAGAATCTTCTCACAAATATTATGGGTTAAATTGCTGGATTTGTGAAGGTGTAATGGGTTAAGTGTTGGATTTAGCTTTCTACCAATAATCGCTACACGAACAACTACACTAATATATTAAAAACTATTATTTTATACCTACTAAATGAGAAAAAGCACATTCACAAGCATCAATCTAGTGCTAAAACATAACATTAACAACCACTTAAAACATTTATAAACATGACATTAGGAAAGAAGTACACAGTACATTCATTACAACATGAGGATTTTGCACCTTTTACAACAGGCTAGTAAATTAGTCAACAAGGCTAATAATGCCCATCATTCAAATTTTTCCTCAAATACTTAAAAAAAGGTCTGCTCATAAGTTTAACATTACACGTAGGAATAGAAAGGGTCAAACACTAATAGTCAACGTACCACAAATCATCATCGTCAGTGCAAATAGGTGGTCTGATACTGATAACCATTCCCAAAGAAGTTACCATGTCCAGGGGAAAAGCTGGTATATGCAGCCTGCGGGCCCACATAAGACGGGATTCGGTGTTCGTTCGGCCCGGGATAAACATATGGTCTCTCGTAAATGTACTGTTGTTGTGGGTACCTCTCGGCTATTCTATAGTTGTTCTTCTCGTTATGAACTCGGGCTACGGCGTTTGCACGTGGCCTTTTGGGCTGTGGCTTGGAAACTTCTGTGGCCCGTTTCTTTTCTGCCTTTGCTTTCTCGATTTGGGCTACCTGTTTGTTGAGTGGGCCCACGGGAAACTGGTGCTCGATTTTGTGGTCCTCGATGCATTTGATGACAGCTTTGAGTGCAGATAGCTCTTTCTCGTTCACTTCATTCTGGGTTGCCTGGAAATGTAGGCGGGTCAAACAGTCATATTTTTTAAACAAAAATGTAAATTTATACGGTGAAATGTCAAACTTCGGTTTAACCGCATATTGAAGCCCTTCGGTTTAGTAGCAGTGAAAAGTGCTAGATACGCGTACGCCAGTTTTTGACAAACTACCAAAGTGTAATTACAAGTACCCGTATTTCACCAATTTACAAATTCAACCCTAGGATCTGAAAAAGAGGTTTATATAACAAGGTATTTTAATCTTTGAAACGCGACACCTCATATATAATGTTTGCCGATTTCCAAAACACGAATAAGAAAGAATTCTAGCAGAAGTCCCTTCATTTTTATCGCTAGTAGTGCTAACTCATGAAGGTGAAAAAACATTTTCCACAATTACATCATTTTTTTTTTTCAGATACTCGACAACCATCATGCGAACCTACAATATTTAAAACACATTTTAAAACTGAACATTAGATCCTCACCAACAAATAGAATAAAGACAGAGGCATAAGAGACAAACCTGTGGAGAGGCACTAGGCGATGTATTTCCGGGTTTTGGGGATGATATCACTTTTTTGGCCTCAGACAAGTAGGATTTCAGTAATACAACAGGTGAAAACTGATCGGTTAGCTCAAAGGCAAATGCTAAATTGACAGCATCAATCTGTCTTCCATTCTTTACCAGCACATCAATCACACCTGATATAACATAAGCGTTAAGTTGATAGACATTAAGATTTTCATAATTTGGGACCTGAGATTTACACAAAGATTAGGTGTAACTCTGAAATAATAAATTCAATTGTTTGAATAATCATGTCAAACTATATATACTCCGTAGGGCAAATGTAATTTTGCAATTCAAGGTCTATGATTCTAGTTGGATCATCAGGTGGAAGACTATGCAAACATTCTAAAAGACAAAAAGAGAGAAAAAAAAAAATGAATTTATAAGTAGCACCCTTGAATAAGAACCTTTTGTAATCACTAATGATAGAAAAATACTTAACCATTGACCGAAATAACCATTACCAACCTGGCATTTTGTCTGACAAGCCAAGATAACGGCACAATTCAGCAGTTTGCCGCCGGCGAGAAACCATGGGAATTAATTTAGACAAACAATCCTGATCAAAATTTGAATTAATTCCAAAAGTAGCCAAAAGCTGCAGGAATGCATGGGCCTCTAATGAATTCCCATTGCTAGCATCAACATCAAGATAATCCAACTTTGGCTTCCACTCTTCAGCAATAGCTTTAGCCCTCTCCTTAGCATTATCTGATATAATATCAGAAAGTGAGTCCACATTCACATCCAAAAATAAACTGCTAAGGCACTCCATCAGCATAATACACGATCGACGAATGCCTAAGAGATTCGAGTCCTTTTTGGGATCTGAGTTTTGAATGTCACCACCATAGAAACCCTTGAGTGAGTCCAAAACTAGAGAGAAAGGATCAGTTGCAGCCTTCAAAGCAATAGGAATTTCATCTCTTAAAGTTACAAGATCCTTGCGGTTTTCAGATATAAATTTATGAAGTCCCTCAGAGTTCATCTCTCGGCACAATTTCACCAACTCCGGATAAGACTTCACCTCAATATTCATAATTTCGGCAGGTTTTGGTTTTGGTGCATCAGATGTTTTTTCCTTAAGAACTTGTGGTTCAACTTCAACTTGATTCTCTTCATAATCAACACACGAAACAGGAGAATCTGGATACTCGTGCTTCCCCATGGCACTTAAGATGGACGAGACTGCAGCATCCCGTTTCTCCTGAAGCCTCTCGAGCGAAGTTTGCTCCTTAGCCAAAACGGCCGCTCTACGCTTCTCTAGAACCTCTTTTGATTCGAATATTTTGGTTTCGAATTCCTTTTCTTGTTCTTCGAGTTCAGTGAAACGTCTTTTCAGAGATTTTTGGAGCCCGTGAAAATGCTCCTCGAGCTGTTTCCATTTCAAATCGAGAGTGATAGCTCGGTGGCTTTCCAGCTCAGCAAATGCTTTCTGAAGCTGTTGTATCTTAGAGTCTGTGGAGTCCATTACCATGGCAGCTGATAAGTTTCCATCCATGATTCAAAGATCCTGGATAAAATTTTAAACAACATGTCAGTTAGCAATAATGAGCATTGAACCTCATTCAGCAGCACAACAAATACTATGAAGAAATATAGCCACACTCAGGCTTGCACCCTCACAGAACTTGCTTAGTCTCAAAAACTTAAAGCAAAACAAGAAACATAATATTTGCTTGAGTGCACGTTATGTTTTTTTCTTTTCTTTTTTTCTTTATTCTTTTCATTCATTCGTCTGTTTTTGTAGGAAGGTAAGTGCTCATCAAGTGATATGACAAAACTTGCAGAAACATATATGAATCGTGATATAAGAACGATAAAATGGATTGACTTGAAAGAGAAACATAACCGAACCAAGAATGAAGAGAGTAAGGGTATATAAAGAGAACCATTTCAGCAATATAAGTAACAGAATTTGTTTAAACCCAATTGACTAAGCGCAGAAGTCAAAAGTCAAAACACAGGTCCGAGTCGAATTCATTCAAAAATAGAAGTCAACAACAACACTTAAGAAGTTACGAACTCTTCACACATGAAGCAGTGCACAAGATAAAAACATAAAAATCTAAATCTGAAGCATAAAGACATAACTAAAACGTGATATAATGCGCTAAAACTCCGCACAAACTAGTAATTCTCCATAATTTGCTTTCACCTAACTAGTGAACAATCAGATCGAGAAACCGCACAAAAGCAGAACAAAAAAAATCACCAAAACCACACACACTCACACTCACACAAATCAGCAAGTCAAATAGAGAAATGCAGCTCAAAACATCAGCTCGAGAGCTAAAATTGTCCAAACTACAGACCATTCATCAGCACCAACGAACTCAAAACAGAACAAAGTTCGATCCTTGATCTGACCCTTCGTAACCATTAAAGTAACAGATCTCGCGAGTGGAGAATTTACCGATCGGGAGTCAAATTGGCGGCGCCGGAAAACAGACCTAAACGGCGGCTATTGGCGGCGGAAAAAAGGAAACCTCAGACCATCTTGCTCGTGGGAATCGAGGGTTTGCTCCCTATAGAGAGAGAGAATGTTTTGGGAAAGAGGAAAGTGTAGGGATGAGAAGTAGTATTTATGTATGACTGTCAAAATTCTGACAGATGACACGCTGACAGCACATGCGTTGCCCTATAATGCCTTTGCTTTTTCGTTCCGCCACTCTAATAAAATTGCTATTTCCAGAATTTCACTTATTTTTTGGCTTCTATAATCCATTCTTTTATTATTAGGAGTGATTGTTTATGGATTCAACTAGTTTTACTTGGTTTGTTTTTTAACTAGAGTTAATTTTAAAAAAATGTGGTATGTTTAGTTGTTAGTGGATATATTAAAATAATATTTAAATAAAATAATTAAAATTGATTTGATGTAAAGTAGGAGAAAAATGATTGGAAGTGATGGTTAGTTAAAATTATGTGAGTGGATAAATAGTGAATTAAAGTTGATGTGATGTGTAAGAATGATTAGTTAATATTATTTAATTATATTGATAATATTGAGGATAGTGGGGTTGAATTAATGTTGAGTTAAATTTGAATTTAGTTTGGTTTTTCACTATTCAATTTATATCCAATCGCCCCCTTAACTTTTAAGTATATAGACTTTTAATGTAAACTTTTAATTTCACATAATTCTTGATCTCCTTCTGAGTACAAGTAGAACTGTCAAAACGGGTCGGCGACGCAGGCCAACCCGTAGCTCGCCAAAGCTCGCCTTTTGACGGGACAGGGGGGCGCCGTTGTGGCGGGCCTTGAAAACCTAGCCCAGCCCGCCCCCACTACGGGCCGTGGGTTTGGCGGGCCAAGGCCGCGGGTTTGGCAGGCTCGCCTATTTAATTTTATTTTTTTTATAACAGTTTGGGTTGATTTGGGCCAGCCTTGGGCCTGCTAGCCCAGTTCTTTAATTGCAACTTGCAAGAATGGAGACGGAGAGAACGGTGTGATGACTGATGGAGACTGGGAACTTCGAGCTTCGGTTGATGGAGAGCATAAGACTGACGGCGTAGGTTGGAGGCGGTTCTTGAAGGCGACGTCGGAGATGGAGGCTGGAGGCGTGGGTGGAGGTCGGNTATTATTTTTTTTAATTAGGTGAATCGGCCCGCGGGTTAGCCAGCCCAACCCCGCCCGAGCTCGCGGCCCGCGCGGGCCAGCCCGCGAAGGCCCCCTCCCTGGCGGGCCTAGAAAATAAAGGCCCAACTCCGCCCCTTTTGCGGCGGGGAGTGGGGCGGCCCACAAGCCGCGGGCCAAATTGACAGTTCTAAATACAAGTGTTGGTGGTTTAAATCCTCTCTCGATTTGAGTTACAGTTCTTGGTCAACTCGGGATTTCATGGTGGTGGTGCCAACAACGGGTTTTAAAACAATTTTCATGCTTTTAAGATAACTTAGATTAGATTGGATACAAAATAATCGAGTAGTTGTGGTTGGATATTTTTTATTTTTTTACAGCTTTTTAATTGTAAGTATAACTCAAATTTAATTCAAACTAGCTCTCCTCCATACGATCAATCATCCTCTAGCATTATATTAATTTTAATTCACTATTTATCCACTCACATAATTTTAACAATCTATCGTAACATTATTCGTGTTTTCAATACAAATTGTTTAAATACAAATTAAAAAATTCCCGCAATCTTCTATTCAATCATTTTTTTTTTTTAAATCACTTCATCCAATGAATTTAATTAAACCAAGCAATTTTATTCCAATCACACCTGACCTAAGTCACTAAATTGCGGTTTGATATTTTACCATCCCATTTATTTTATTTCCTAGAGAAAATAACAATGAAAATTTTTGGAAAGTCAATGACATATTTTCAGAGCATGTGTGAACACAAAATTGAAATGACAATAATTATAATTGACTTACTATGAAATTATTACATAATGTTGGATGGTTAAAAATATCAATAGAAAAAATAAATTTGGTCAATTTCTTTGTCAACAAGTACCCCTTTGCTAAGATACAATAGACCCATTTCCCTAACCATTGGGTCAAAGACAAGTCTTTTACTACATTGAGAAACCAAAATTTTTTGTGGATTCATTTAATAAAAATCAAACCTATTGATTTGCACACAAATATTAAATATGGCAAAACATCATATTTTATTTTTATTTTAAAATATAATGTTTTATTGTAGATACTAAAAAGTATGAGGTGATTGAATAAATATTTTTTTTTACCTGAAATTTTTATCTTGCCTAATAAAACACGTGAAAGATGTAAGATAAAAATGTAATTATTAATTTTGATATATTATAAAATAATTAAATATTAATTGATAGGGATTGACTATGTGAATATGCAATTGAATGAATAATATTTTTTCTTTATACATATTTATTTGTGTGTGCGTGTGCGCAGTACTGGTTGATTTTTGCATTAAATTATATTAATGTGATGAAGGAGGAAAAAGATGAATAATATTATTTTTAAAGAATAATTTACATCCAATCAAGCACCAATTGAAACAAATTAGCCGACAAGAAGAAAACTGTAAAATTTATATTGCCGTTCTACCCTGATAATAAAGTTAGTTTAGGTTGACGTAATAATTAGATTTTCATGATTTCATACTTTAAAATTTACATATCATGCTTTTAAAATCGAGATAAACAAAAATATTTCATTGTACAGTATGTATTTTTATTAAAACTACATAAATATTTGATTTAGATAACTAGGTTGCCTCGAAAAAAAGATGTGTTAGCAATAGCACAACGAACAAGACGTTTGTGATGTCTTAAGACGTATTTGGCTCTAAAATATAATATGATTTGATTAATCGAATCTATTTTTGACATTATTTAACTCAAGTTGAATCAAACTAATATATCTTCAATATTATTAATATAATTAAATAATATGAATTAATCATTATAAGTTATCACACATTACATTAACTTTAATATACTATTAATCCACTCACATGTTTTTTAACTAATTATTATTTTTAATAATTAATATCTTATTTTTACATCACCTCAATTTTAATCATTATATTTTAAATATTATTATAATAGAAACGTAAAATCACTAGACTCAATCAACTTTATTAAAAAATATCTCAATAAATTAACTAAATTTAATTAATAAATTCAATCCTGATTTTATTATGAAAAATGATACATAGTCAACCTAGTGTACAATTAAGTTGACAACACAAATAGAAACACCTGTTTATGTATTTTTTAATTTTTTTTTTGAATATATTTTACTTTTGTTGTCAACTTAATTGTACAATAGAAATTTGGATGTGGGGTAGTTGGTGGTCAAAGAATTGGTAATTCAACACGCTTTTGGGCACAAGAAAAGTCAAGCAATTTATGGTCGTCGCATACGTTTCTCTTTACCGTCTTTTTCTCGCTTTGCAGTCCCACTCCCCAGTCTCCAGTCTTTCAGCTCCACCCACTGTAAAAAGACAAAACGAGAAAAATAAAAAATCATAAAAAAGGGGGCAAGAAAAAGGAAAATGAAATAGATAAATGAACGAAGAGAGGACTTAAAAAGTATCGCTCTCAGTCTTCACCGTCTTGGACACGAAATTCAACAGTTAAACACAGATTTGGATTTTTTTCGAAAAGTACTAATCACATAATAATTATTCTTGCAAACCCATTTCATTATATGTTCGGTCTACTCCCAAGTCTCCCCTTTGAAGTTTGAACACCAAAGATCCAATCTTTCGCACTACCCAGGTAAAGTTCTCCTTTTTCTAAGAGTCTTATTTATATTTTTCTACACGGGGTGTATCAAATTTGTGTAATCTTGTGTCTTGTTCGTGGGTTATTTTTTAATTTGTTTATCAAGTGATGTTTGCTGACTTTTGGATGACTTTCAGAAGGGTTTGATATTTATTTTTTGTTTCCCTTTTATTTTGGCTGATTTTGAGTTCAGGGGTTTCTTTTGTTTGGTAAACCCTTTTGTATTTTCAGTACAACTTTTGTGGGATTACAGCCTAACAGGTGAGTTTAATTGATTTGTCATGTGAATTCTTACTTGTTCACGATTGAGTCCACTCTTGTTGGCTTTTTAGGTTATTCCCTTTTATGTGGTTGTATGGTCTTCACTGAAAGGAAGACTATTAAGGTTTTCTTTTTTGTTCAGCTTTGTTTTTGAAGATTCTTGTGATTTTTCTATTTTTCCTTCTGTCACTTGCCAAAAGTATTTGATATATCTCAAACAAGATGAAACTTACTGTAGCATATTCGGTAGAGAAAATGGATCGATATGCAAGCATGATATGTTCTATATAGTCATGAATCTTGGAACTTGTTCTCGTTATTGTACGATTTGACCGGAGAAAATGGATTTTGATAATGTTCCAGGCTATGCAGGATTATACATGGAAGTTTTTTTTTTTCTTTAGCTTTCACCTTAGCCATATGACTCTTATCCTAGCCTCCGAGGGAGCCTTACCCTCTTTGTTTTGTTTTTTCTTTTCACCTGTTTGGGCTTTCTTTAGATGGTAAAGCCTTTAGTACCTGTTACTTTCTTGAATTCCTATCTGTGATGATCTCTCGTCAATTTATTTCATTATGTCAACTTGCCGATTGTTCCTCATACATTGCACATGCATTTAGGTAAAATTGTGTCAGGTATGTGAGATCATTCGTGATTACCTGTTAAGCAATCTTCATTCACAGTTGCCTTTTGCATTTTTTACTCGAGACATTATCTATATGTGGCCTGATTTTGGATCTTCTCTCAGGAACCCAACTCTGAGTCTTGTCATGCGATATCAATCTTGAAACCGTTCTTTACATTTCGAGCAACTTTCTTGGGCCATTTGCTGTAATAAACGAATATGTCCCTCATTACCGTTTTAATTTGTGTCCTCCCGGTTATTATCAAACTCTCCCATGCTAGTCAAAGCGATATCTACTGCCTTTCATCCGTAAAAGCTTCTTTGCAAGACCCAAACAACTACTTTGAAACCTGGAATTTCGCCAACGGGACCCACACGCAAATATGCAACTTCAACGGCATCGATTGCTGGCACGAAAACGACAACAAAGTCTTAAACGTCAAACTCTCGGGAATGGGTCTCAGAGGCGAATTCCCGTTGGGCTTAATAAATTGTTCGTCCATGACCGGACTCGACCTCTCTAGCAACGAGCTTCACGGACATATTCCGGTTAATATCTCCCGCTACATTGGCCTACTCACTTCCCTCGACCTCTCATCAAATCAGTTCTCGGGCGAGATTCCAGTGGATCTTGCAAACTGCACTTTCTTGAACACACTCAAGCTGGACAATAACCGGTTGACCGGTCAAATACCTTCGCAGATTGGTCAGTTGGGCCGGCTGAAGTCGTTCTCAGCTGCGAGGAACCAGCTGACTGGGCCTGTGCCTGGATTTTATAATTCCACCGCCATTGGAGCTGAGAGTTATGAGGGTAACCCGGGCCTGTGTGGCGGGCCTGGGCTGAATCTTTGCATGGGCCCTGTGAAGAATCGAAACCCGGCAATCATTGGGGGAATTGTTGCTGGTGCTGCAGCTGGGGCTATAGGTGTCGTTATTGGTATGTATTTATATATGCGTAAGATGTCTCGGAAGAAGAGGAAGGAAGACGACCCTCTCGGGAACAAATGGGCCAAGAGTATCAAGGGTGCCAAGCACGTCAAGGCAAGGCATTTTTACGTTTTTTTTCTAAGTTATAGTCAGTCAATTCAAATGAGAAAAGAAATTACAGTTATCTTACAAAATAAGGGTTGATATGCGAAAAGAAATTACAGTTATCTTACAAAATAAGGGTTGATATGCAAAGAAATGCGAACATTTTAAAGATAATCTGATGTCCTTTTCGGTAAATAAGAAAAACTTCGAGTTTTTTTTCTTAAACGAATTGGAGCGACAAAGGGCTGAATAAGAAAAACTTTGAGGTTAGGTAATTGTTATCTAAAGATTAAAAAAATCGAAACTTTCTGTTCACACAGCTGTCGATGTTCGAGAAATCGGTCTCGAAAATGAGCCTGAACGACCTCATGAAGGCGACCAACGACTTCAGCAACGAGAACATAATCGGTTCGGGCCGAACCGGGACAATGTACAAGGCCCAACTCCAAGACGGGACCTTCCTCACGGTCAAACGCCTCCAAGACACTCACCACTCGTCAAAGGAATTCGTCTCCGAAATGACAACCTTAGGGAACGTAAAACACCGCAACCTCGTCCCCCTCGTCGGCTACTGCCTCACCAAAACCGAAAGATTCCTCGTCTACACCCACATGCCCAACGGCACCCTCCACGACCTCCTCCACAACAAAGAAAATGGGCCCGTCATGGACTGGCCCACTCGTCTCAAGATCGCCACACGGGCCGCGAAAGGCCTCGCGTGGCTCCACCACAGCTGCAACCCGCGCATCATCCACCGCAACATCAGCTCAAACTGCATCCTTCTAGACTCGGGCTTCGAGCCCAAGATCTCGGATTTCGGGCTGGCCCGATTAATGAACCCGGTCGACACCCACCTCAGCACATTCGTCAACGGCGAGTTCGGGGATTTGGGTTACGTGGCGCCCGAGTACGCGCGAACACTCGTGGCCACTCCAAAAGGTGACGTGTACAGCTTTGGGGTCGTGCTGCTCGAGCTGGCGACGGGAGAGAGGCCGACGCACGTGGGCCCGCGGGCCCACGAGGGGTTTAAAGGGAGCCTGGCAGAGTGGGTGTTGGGCCTTTCGGGGGAGTCGAGGCTGAGGGAGGCAGTGGACGGGTGCTTGGTGGGGAAAGGGTTCGATGGGGAGGTTTATCAGTTTATGAAGGTTGCATGTAGGTGTGTGGGCCCGGCCCATAAGGAGAGGCCCACTATGTTCGAGGTTTACCAGCTGCTGAGGGCGGTGGGGGAGAGGTACGATTTTACGACGGAGGATGAGGTGTTGGTGGTGCCGGAGGAGGATGAGGAAGACGAGAAGCTCGTGGAGCTCATTGTTCGTGCCGTGTAAGATTAATAATCTGATTGTTTTGGTGATGAACAACAAAGGTGAGAGAGGATCTGATGAATAATCCATGTTTGTGTTG